ACTACGGCGACGACTACGACTACGACGACGATGACCAAGCTACTACTACTACTACTACTACTACTACTACTACTACTACCACTACCACTACCACTACCACTACCTACTACTGCTACTACTACTACTACTACTACTGCTGCTGCTGCTGCTACTGTTACCGAAACCATTATTACTACTACCAACACTACTACTACTACTACTACAACAACTACTACTACTACTACTACTACTACTACGACGACTACTGCTACTCCTACTTCTGCTCCAGCTCCTTCTCTTATCAATACTGCGACTGCCTCTGCTGCTGCTACTACTACTACTACTACTACTACTACTACTAGTACTACTACTATTACTGCTGCTGCTACTACTACTACTACTACTACTACTGCTAGGTACTACTCCTGCTTCTACTCCTAATCCTACCCCTACCACTACCCCTACCCCTACCCCTACTCCTACTCCTTCTCCTACTCCTACTCCTACTCCTACTCCTACTCCTACTCCTACTCCTACTGCTGCTGCTGCAACTACTACTGCTGCTGCTGCGAAGAGTAGTAGTAGAAGTGGTAGCAGTTGTAGTAGTAGTAGTAGTAGTAGTACTACTACTACTACTACTACTACTACTACTACCACTGCTGCTACTACTACTGCTACTACTACTACCACCACTACTACTGCTATTGCTGCTGCTGCTGCTACTACTACTACTACTACTACTACCACTACTACTGCTATTGCTGCTGCTGCTGCTACTACTACTACTACTACTACTACTACTACTACTGTACTGTTACAGGCCATGTGGGAGCCAAAACTACGATTGCGACTGCTACCCTTACGACTGCCAGTGCCGCTGCGAGCTGAACAGCATCGCTCAAGACTTCTGTTCGTTGGAGATCCAGACCTGCGGAGAAAGCTTTCTGCGATTGAGCGGCGTACGGACACAGCTTAGTCACCCGCAGCCTAAGTCCTGCATTCAGACCCAGCAAGCCCTCCTCGAGGGGGGATGGGGGGTTGAACCTAGCAAAATAAGTTGGGGTGGCTGGGCGGAACTACTTGCTGACTCAGCCACATGCCCTAAGCCTTAGAAGTCTGTGCAAACTGAACCCGAATCCGCCAAAGGTGCTGGTGAGAATTTCTCGGCCGCCATGTCCCAGCAGGGTGAGCTCTGGGTGTGGGGCCGAAACGACTACGGACAGCTGGGCCTCGGCGACTGGCGCTCGCATTTTTACGGTCATTCGCGTTCAGGATTGAGGAATGTACTGTTTTTGGCTAATGGAGGAATAGGGTCCATACCACGTATCAACTTTGACCTACAGGTCAAAGTTGATACGTGTTATCGCGGATGAGCCTGGACCGGCAGGCCGTAGCCTAAGCAGCTCAGAATTTGAGGGTACCCTTCAAGCATGGCGTTGGGCAGTTCGGGCCCGAATCTTCTGCCCGTCCTACACGCTTCCTTACTTTGGAAAAATCCCAAAGTGTAAGGTCCTTGAAGCCCTAAACGAGCTCTCCACTGGCAACCAGGTGAGGAGGCTATGGGCGATATGTACTCTGCAGAGCCGTGGCATGACTTGGGACACCTAGAGTTTTCTTTTGGTAGCTTGTATAGTCATCAGGCTGGTGGTGGGCTTCCCAGAGGCGTCAGGGATCAGGGATGATAGCAGCCCGGTCTTGCTTGGGCGGTTCGAAGGCACATCCAGGGCCAAATAAGCGGAAGACCGAAAGTCCCAAACGGCAGCAAGACCGAAGCTCTGAATCAAAGTCCCCTTTCGTCCTTTTGTTCTGTCCTGTGGCCGGAGCCACTTTGAGAGCCCCGCCCGGCTAGTCACGGGCACCCTCGACGCCAGGAGCGCTTTCCGAGACTCGTGCGCAGCCTTCCCAGCGACGGGCACCGCATCGTGGACTTTGCCTGCGGCGAGCACCATGTTGTGGTCCTTACCGCCGAGGGAGTCCTCTTCGAGCGGCTGCAGCCGAACAGTCGTGATCTCTCAGGAGCAATCGTAGCAGCAACAACAATATTTGTAAGATGCTAAGCATGTACGGTGGCCACAGCACAGGATTCGACACGAGGGTTAGAGCTGTTGAGTTTTGGGGAGAGTGCAGCAACGCCGGCTTCTGACTGGAATCAGTAGTTGTACAAAAGACGAGTTACAGAAGCAAGATCATTGCCCGATCTGTTCGCTCATAGTCAGTAGCTGCTGAAGTGATGCAGGAACTGGCGGAGGCGCTACTAGCAGCAGCTGTGACAGTAACCACAGTTGGCAAGAAACGAAAAATGATTGCTCCGGTACCCATCACCAGCACCGTCGTTCGGGCTCGTTGTCGCGCTTGCCACATGCCTTCCGAATCAACATCAACATCGTCACGAAATTGCTATCATCACGTTCTCCCTTATCCATACCGCAAGCGTATCCTCTTATTTACGCTCTACATCGTCATTATGCTATCAACAGCGGAATCGAGGCATTGAGTTATGGGAGTTGGGGTAAAGGTAAAGTTTAAGCGAAGCATGACAACAGGACTTGGACCATTGTTGCTCGATGCTGCTAGTCTTGCGCGAATAGTGACCTCCCATCCATGCCCGAGGTGGGGTGACCGCACCTGGCTCGAGCCGCACAGAGTCTCGCCACCGCAGGTGGACGACGAGGACAGCACAATAGACCTACCGCCGGATTTGAGGGCAACGCAGGCTTTGGGATGAAACGTCTCCAGTCTCTAGGTTTTGCTCTAAACTGTTTAAAGCGCAACTCACAGGAGTTGCAGGCACTAACAGTTTGAGATTTAGGTACCTAGGCATCCTCATAAGTCGTGCGCAAAATGCATGAGGTCACACGTATTTTCCACGGCCCAATGGATTCGTTGGGTCTTGTTTTGCTCTGCCCTTACATCCTCAAGGGTTTGCATGCTAAGCACCCGAAAGCCATGCCACCGCTGATGTGGATCTTAGTTCTGCTGGGGATTGATCGGTGGAGCGGGAGGATGGGACTAGTCACCAGTGTTCGGCACCATTCCGATTTGTGTCTGTGCTTGCTTTCAGAACTTCTGAGTACGAGGATTTCCGGGACATTGTCAAGGTTGCCGCCGGGGACAAGCGCGCTGGCTTTACTGCAGGGCATGATGCCAACATCACACTTTGAGAAAGCAATGCGGACAAGACTTGAAGGCAGTAGAATAGAAGTATAGGGCAAAGGAGTAGTAGCGGCAGCAGCAGCACAGCGGCGGCGGAAACAGTTCTTGTAGTACTCGCAATCGCAGGTCTGAGTTTCAGGCTGGGGTAGGTGACTGAGGGGCCGAGCCATGCAACCAAAAGGTGCCAACCTGCCTGCCTTGTGCTTTTTCGCTTTGAACGGTCTCATACCCTTTTCCTGGTCCCTCAACCACAAACCCCACACTGAGCCTGATCATGCAGCTGCCAACAACACGTCGTGCCAAGGTACAGTTTCGCCCTCACCGCCAGCGGCAAGCTTTTCACCTGGGGATCCAAGATCCTCGGCTTGCTTTGGGCATGTGGACAGAGTCGCACGAAGAGCTCGCAGTGCAGCAAGGAATTGACCTCAAGACGCATCAAACAAGACTGGGTATCCAAGTGTAGCTGCCGATGCTGCTGCTACTCGTCGCAGAAACAGTACTTGTTAACAGTGTGAGTATGACCACTTCAACTGGTGCTGTCGCCACCGCTCCCACTGCAATAGCAGCAGCAAGAACCACTACCACTACTACAAATAATTATGTTGTCAATGTTCTTGTACGTAGTTCTTAGTGCCAATCCTACTCTCTCTTGCTGCTTCTGCTTCTGCTACCACTTACAATTACTACTACTACGACGACTACTACGGATTGATGCTACCAGTGCACGAGTACTACCACGACGACTACTGCTGCTGCTACTGCCCCTAGTGCCGTGCTGAACCCCGCTACTGCTGCCGCTGCTACTGCTACTGGTTCCGGCGCTTACTGCAACTGCCAATGCGTCGACTTCATATACCACTACGACGACCACCACCACAGCAGTTGTGTCTGCTAATGTCAATATTACTACCACATGGCCACTGCCACTGCCACTGCCACTGCCACTGCCACACTACCACTACCACTACGACGACTACCACTACTACTACTACTACTACGACGACGACGACTACTGCTACCCCTACTTCTACTCCTACTCCTGAATGGGCTATTGCACCATGTGTGGATTTTGCAGAGCGCAGCACTGCATCAGGTAACCTTGTAGGCATCTGCCCTTCGCTCCCCTGGTTATCGATGTATGTTGGATGAGCGGAGAGTGGATTTTGCTTGGTTGCCGCACAACCCGTTGAGTGTAATTGAAACTGTGCATACTCCAGTTCCTCGACTGTGAGCATAGTTCTCTGCCATGCGAAAGGGAAAAAACTCCTGCTACTGCGACTGCTACTACGACGACGACGACGACGACGACTACTACTACTCCTACTACTATTACTACTACGACTACGACTACGACTACTACTACTACTACTACTATTATTATTACTACTGCTACTACTGCTGAGACTACTGCTGCTGCTGCTGCTGCTACCACTACCATTACCACTGTTGCTGCCACTACCATTACCACTGCACGAATACCACTACCAGTATCACTACTACTACTACTACTACTACTACTACTACTACGACTACAACTACGACTACGATTACTGCTACTACTACTACTACTACTACTACTACGACTACGACTACGACTACGACTACGATTACTGCTACTACTACTGCTACTACTACTACTACTACTACGACGACTACGACGACTACGACGACTACGACTACGACCACGACCACGACTACGACGACGACGACAGCTACTACTAAAACTACTACTC